GAAGAAAACATGTTTTCAAGTCGCCACCGAAGGAATCCTTTGCATGGCCTCCGCAGAAGGCTTCCTTGTGTAAGGGCTCCACAAAAGAAGTCCCTTTATAGAGCCGCGACAAAAAAGGACTCCCTTTGTAAGGCCGCCACAAAAGGAATCCTTTTTGTAAGGCCGCCACAAAAAGAATCCCTTTGTATGGCAGCTGTATCTTCTTTGAGAGACAGCAGCGGGAAACCAGGGTTCTCATTGTTTGTTACTGTGCTTTCACAGTCCTTTCCTGTTTTTCCTTGTTTTTCGTTGTGGTTTCCTTGGTTTCCATGTTTTCATTGTTTTCTCAATTTTCCGCTAAGGGGAATCCTTTTGTACGGTTGCGGATCATTGTTCGGGACAGCAGCGGAAAACCAGGACAACCAGGAAAACAATGAAAACACATAAAAAAACACGAAAAAACAGAACAGGTTTTGAAACAGCACAGCAAAAAAAACAGTGTAAACCAAAGAATTGTTATATTTATATGGGGGAAAAATAAGAGAAAAAAAAAACGGAAACTTGTGAAACCATTTTTTGTACGTTGTCATTGTTTTCTGTTGTGGTTTCATATGTTTTCTTTGGTTTTCATTGTATTTTGCTGCGTTGTCGTAATACGTGTCTGGTTTTCCTTGTTTTTCGTTGTGGTTTCATTGTTTTTCTTTGTTTTCCTGGTTTTCCGCTGCTGGCTCCCGAAAAATTACAAAAGGAATTCCTTGTGTGGCGGCCTACGAATTTGAAAAACAATGCTGTAAACCAGTTCGAAGAAAAATATGTTCGAAGAGAACTTCGAATCAAGAAGGGTATCAGGTAGATCTTAGTGGGGGGGCATCCTAAAATAATAACGAAATCAAAGCCCTGAGTTGTTTTTTCATTGACAAAACCAAGAACACCTAAAGTTGTTCAATGTTTCCCGTCTGAAAACCAATCGGGGCTTTGATTTCGTTGATTTGTTTTGCTGGGGCTTTGGTGTTTTGGGGTTGTTCCCTGGGCTTTGGCTGAGTTTACTGTTTTTGTTGGTTTTCCGCTCCCTGGCCCTGGCAGCGCCGCCTCCATCTCACCCCCAGAGAGGGCGCGGGCAGCAGAAACCAACAAAAACAATAAAATCAGCCAAAACCTAAGGAAAAAAACAGGAAAATAAAAGCCCCAGGCAAAACAAATAACGAAATCAAAGCCCTGAGCTGTTTTCCATTGAAAACACCAAAGAACACCTAAGGTTGTTCAATGTTTCCCGTCTGAAAACCACTCGGGGCTTTGATTTCGTTGATTGTTTTGGCTGGGGCTTTGGTTTTTTTGGTTGTTCCTGAGGTTTTGACTGATTTTATTGTTTTTGTTGGTTTTCCGCTCCCTGGCCCTCCCAGCGCCGCCTCCACCTCACCCCCAGAGAGGGCGCGGGCAGCAGAAACCAACAAAAACAGTAAAGTCAGTCAAAACATACAGAAAAACCAAGGAAATCAGAGCCACAGGCAAAAAAATCAACGAAATCAAAGCCCTGAGTTGTTTTTAATTGAAAAACATAAGGTTTTTCAATGTTTCCCGTCTGAAAACTACTCGGGGCTTTGATTTCGTTGATTTTTGTGACTGGGGCTTTGATTTTCCTGGTTTTTCCTTAGGTTTTGACTGATTTTACTGTTTTTGTTGATTTTCTGCTCCCTGGCCCTCCCAGCGCCGTCACCCCCAGAGAGGGCGCGGGCAGCAGAAACAAACAAAAACAGTAAAATCAGTCAAAACCTAAGGAAATTCCAAGAAAATCAAAGCCCAGGCATTCCCACAATAGGATTCCTGTTGCTGAGGGAATAATAACAAGAGAAGACCCAAAATCACGTCAAAGAAAGAGAAGTCAAATGATACAAACGATCCGCCCTACAGCCCCCCCCCCCGCCCCCCTCGCGGCCATCTCTCGCCGAGCGCGTTCCACACCTCGCAAAGTGACTACTCGCAACCGTCCGAAAAACATATTTCTATTTCGACGACATTTACCGTAGATCCCCCGCGGTGGATCCAGGCCATCTGCGAGTAGTTACTTTGCGAGTAATGGAACGCGCTCGTCTAATCTCCCCCCGTGTTGCGGGCACTCTTCGTCGCTCCCCCCTTCCTCCCCAGACTCTTGGCGACTCGAGGACGCCGCGATGCCCGGACGTTCGGTGCGGCCTGCCGCTCGCAGGGCCGCCTTCTGGGCAGTGGGACCACTAACCCTCGCCGAGCGCGTTCCACTACTCGCAAAGTGCCTACTCGCAAACGCCCGAAAAAACACATGTACGCTTTGATGTAGTTTATCGTAGATCCTCCTCAGGGGATCCAGGCCATTTGCGAGTAGCTACTTTGCGAGTAGCGGAACGCGCTCGTCCAAACCCAGATCGTCCGCGACCAGAAATGTTCGGTAACGGACTTCGGGGTCGCGCCACATTTCGGTCGCGACTTGAGGGGGTCGAATATCGGTAACGAAGTGACGGCGTGTCGGGATCTAAGCGAGGGCTTCGAAGACGTTGACGGCTCGCTTGTTATCGGAAATCGCGACCGGAGGCCGAATTTCGGTCGCGACCGGTTCGCAGGTTTGGTGGTCTTGCTGCTGAGTGCGCCTCGGTGCCGACCCGTGTTGGTAAGATTGAGCGGGATTATTTGCACAGGGGTCCTCACCCCCCTGCACAAGTTGCGCTGAGCCCCTTCGCCTCGTCGCCCCCTCGCTCCTCCTCCTCGTCCTCGTCCTCCCTGTCAGCTTTCGCTCGCGTTCGCGGGCCGAACTTCGTGACATGTCCGTTGCGCTCTGCCGCGCCGGCCAGCTTATTTCCTTGTGCTCTCGCCGAGCTGGTGAAGCTCATGTCGTTGCTTCTACGGCTTAGCAGAGTTAGGCAGATTTAGGCTGAACCTCGCCATTCCAGAGTGGACACCGAAGGCCTAATTCAGCGCCTGATCTCTCAGGTTGCCACCGTGGACTCCAGTCCGAGCAGCACGGTGCTCGTTTGCACCTCTGCAGCACCTGACCTCAGGGCGCGTCGCGGAGTGCCGCCCTCCAGCGTGTGCGCACGTCCCTCGCCCTCCAAGAGGACGAGGGCCCGCTCGTGCCAAAGCTGGGGGGCAGGTCAGACGAGTCTGACTATATTTTATATCAGGGCGGCCTCACTCCTCAAAGAAGAAGAAAAAACACCAAAAAACATAAACATAAACAGGAGAAGGAAAAACACACAGACACAAGTAATCGTCGATTCCCCAGACAAAAATGACAAGATATGGGCAGTGGGGGGGAAGACAGAAACCCAGAGAACATGGGAAAATATGGAGAATCCTTTTATTTTTGTGTATTTATTTGTGTGTCCCAGCGCCCCTTCATCATGGTGGGGAGGAGCGGATTCTCCCAGATTTTCTACTACGGCCCCTTCTTCACTCGACACAACCTCTGGCCCCCCGTCGCCCACGCAGATGCATCGTGCCATTGATGCGCTGGCCCCCCTCCTGTTGGCCCCTCATGCTCCCTTCAGGAGGGGGGAAAACACGGAGACATCGATAATCGTCGATCCCCAGGAACATAGGGAAACGATGGGAAGTAGGGGGAGGACCAAAGTCCAGAGCACACGTGAAAAAATATGGGGAACCTTGGGATTTGCGTCTGTTGCTTGGTGTGCCCCTCCATTCCTGCCGACACGAATGCTGGCCGGGGGGGAGGGGATGGGGCTGGGTCGGGGCTTAAGCGACGGGGGTCAATGCAAACGGGGGTCAGCCAGGGCGCCAGATCTTGCAGGATCCTGCAGAGGCCAGGGTCACATTGACCGGAGCTTGGGAACAGGATCCTGTAGCATGCTGCAGGGCCAGGGTCGCATTGACCCGGGTTTGGGTGCAGGATCCTGCAGGATCCTGCAAGGCTTGACTGACCCGGGTCCGGATTGACCCGGGTCAGGAGGTCCCCGATTGGGAGGCTTTGGGGGCGGGCGATTGGAACAGTCGAGAGTCCATGGGGGGCTTGGGTGGGCCGCCCTGGCGCAACGCGCGTGGTGACACCAGTTTTTAGTCGGGCCTGTCTTATACAAAAACAAGCAAGTAGCCAACAAACAGTCAAACATGGAATATTCAAGAGATTCAAAAATAGTCAGAAAAAGATATGGGGACGATGAGCCGATTACTTTGTTTGTGCTGGAGTATGTTTGGAGTATTCTTGATTTTTCGTCCAAGCTCCGCCTGCAGGAGGACACGCCCAACCGAACAATAGTCGTCTGCGGCAGAGGAGGGAGGTGTTTCCTACCACCACTGGCCTGCCCACCGCCGCACTGCCCCCTCGGTGGGCGGCAGGCGTCAGGCGTCAGAAGCGGAACCAGAGGTGGGCGCGCGTGCCGCAAAAGGAGAAGAGGGAAGAGCAGCAGCAGACGCCGAGGCAAATAAATATAAAAAGAGCCCGCCGAGGTTCCCCCAGTCTTCCCGCGCAGTGCTTTTTATAGGAGCAACCCATTCTGCGAAGAGACACCGCGAGCGAGAAGCCATACGCCGTTCGGCGCATGGGCAGTTGAATCGAGCGAGCACCGATTGCAGCACGCGGGGCTCTGGGCACGGTATACCGCATGCCAGCGCTGCCCTCCAGCAGAAGGTCGTCCGAGGGCTCCTCGGGTCAGAGGACGGCTTACCTCAAGTCGGGGGTGGACAGGCCCCCCACCTTGACACGTCGATTAGTGGATTGTCCGTTTCAGGTTCTCGAGAGGGCGCCACGGCCATCATTTTCCAGTCTTGCGCCCGCCAGGTCTGGGCCCGAGGTCGTTTTCACTGAACCACGTTTTATTAAAAGGGGGTTCTCTGCCCATCCCCGATCGAGTCTCGCCATGCTCGGTCGACTCCACCGTTTGGCTCGGCGGCCTGTTCCCACACTCCTGGTCATCCCTCCTCCATGCTTCCTCCCTGGGCTCTTGCACTTCCCCCCTATTATGTTACTATCCCCTCCCGCTCCCTCCTTGTACGGCCTGCTGCTCCCTCCTCCCTCCTCCCGACCGCCCCTGTGCGAGGATGGAGGACGAAGGCGCCGCCTGAGTTGAGCGGCGTGAGAAGCTAGACCGAGTATTGCGTGAAGAGATGTGAGTGCAGTCAGGGGGATGTTGAGGTGGAGCCACAAGAGCGAAGTGCGCATGCGAGTGCCACGTATCATGCGTTATGTGCTACGTGTATGCAAGGTGGCGGCAGGCGATACTGCTGTTGAGTCGGGCGTGCTTGCCACAGCAGAAGCAGGTAGCGAGAGTGAGAGGGAGAGGCAGAGAAATAGAGAGAGAGGGAGAGAGAAAGAGAAAAGCAGAGGAACAGAGACACAGAGAAAGAGACAACATATGCATATATATATATATGTATATAGATGGAGAGAGGGAGAGAGAGAGGAAAACAACAAAACAAAGAGAAACGAGAGAGAGAGAGAGAGGGGGAGGAAAGTAAGAGAGAGAGAGAGAGAGGAGAGAGACAGGACAGAGAGAGAGAGAGAGAACACAGCGAACAGAAAGACAGATAAACAAACAAGAGCAGACATGCATGCATGCATGCAGGGCGGAGGCAAACAAGGGAATGGAACGGCCAACGTGAGCGAGGGAAAGAGAACGCGAGAGAGGGAGAGGGTTTAAAAATAGCTCATCACAGGCAGCCCGCCCTTTTCAGGCAGCCTGCCCCTCCCACATGCCGATATCTGCCGCCCCGCTCGGCGCCCCCCCCCCACCCACGAGGAAACCACGCCCCACAGGATCCAGCCCACCGACGCCCCCGCCGGAGCCCCCTCCTCCTCCTCCTCCGCCTCGTCCTCCTCTTCCTCCTCCTCCTCCTCCTCCTCCTCCTCCTCCTTCCCTCCCCCTCCTCCCCTCGTCTCCTCCTTCCCCTCCCCTCTCTCCCTCCCCCTCCCCCCCCCCCCCACCCCCGCGCGATGACCGGCCTCCTTCGCCCGCTTAGGTAGACCATCTGGAGAGGGGCAGAGCAGCCCGTCTAGGGGAGCTCCTCCTCCTCCTCGGCCCCCCCTCCCCTCCTCGTGCTTGCCACTCCATCCTCTCGCTTCCCCCCTCGTTCCCTCCTCCTCCGCCTCCTCCTCCTCCTCTGACCAGCACGAGCGTGCGCCCTCCAGCATATTCCAGCATGAGTCTCTTTGTCCTCCCCATCTCCTCATCACCTCCTTTTCATCCGCGTATCCTCCCCTTCCCGCTTCCTCCCTCCCTCCCCTCCTCTTTCCGATCGCCCTCGCCGTCCTGCCATAATACCCCCTCTCTTCCCTGCTCATGCAACGTCCAGCCAGCGTGGGAACGAGCCAGTCGCAGGGGCCTCCCTGTGCCTGGAGCGGTTTACTCGGGCTGTCACGCTCCCGTGGGCTGCCTGAGCAACGAACATTTGAGACGTCTCTGGGTGCTTGGGACAAGCTCCACCACTGTGCCAGCACATATAATCATCCTCATCTATATCCCCCTCCTGGGTCCTCCTCCTCCGCCGAAAGCGTCGCAAAATGCGACGGTCCCTACAGTGTCAGTACACTGCCCATGCAATATCGCGGCTGTAAAACAACTCATCGACAAGTTCGATGATTCCGCGAGAGGGCTCGGCACGAAACGCTTCCAGGTGAATACGTCGCCGCCCCAGGAAAAGCTTGTTTGTAAAGACGGCTGTCGTGCCAAGCTCGCCCCCGTAATTATCACGTGGTGGTGATGAGAGGGAGGGAGGAAAGGAGGGAGGGAGGAGGGGGGGAGGGAGGGAGGGAGGGAGAGAGGGGGGGAGGAGGAGGAGGAGGAGGAGGAGGAAGGAGGAGGAGGAGGAGGAGGAGGAGGAGGAGGAGAGGAGGAGGAGGGGAGGAGGAGGAGGAGGGAGGGGAGGAGGGGGAGGAGGGGGAGGAAGGAGGAGGAGGAGGAGGAGGAGGAGGAGGAGGAGGAGGAGGAGGAGGAGGAGGAGGAGGAAGCGGAGGAGGAGGAGGAGGAGGAGGAAAAGGAGGAGGTGGAAGAGGAGGATGTGGAGGTGGAAGTGGGGTGGAGGGGGAAGAAGAGCAGGGGGCAGGATGAGGAGGAGGAGGAGGAAGACGAGGAGGAATTAGTGTCCCACTAATGCGCGCCGTGCTGAATAATGGTGGACGGCTATTTTTTCCATCGGACGATGCCTCCTGGGCTACCCTCCACGCGAGAGGATTTCCGAGTTTGTTAGTAGGAAGGTTTGCAATACGAGTCGATGCACCGGAGGAGGAGGGGAAGGAGGAAAAGGAGGAGAATGAGAAGGTAGAGGAGGGGGAGGAGGAGTAGGAGGGGAGGAGGAGGGAGGAGGAGGAGGAGGAGGAGGAGGAGGAGGAGGCACTAAGGAGGAGGATGGGGGGGGGGAGGAGGAGGAGGAAGCGGAGGAAGCGGATAGGCTACCCGCCGCGCGAAAGGAATTTCGAGCTAGTACGTAGGAAGGCTTGCAATAGTAATGGATGCATCGGAGGAGGAGGAGGAGGAGGAGGAGGAGGAGGAGGGGAAGGAAGGAGGAAGAGGAGAAGGTGGAGGAGGAGGAGGAGGAGGAAGAGGAGGAGGAGGAGGAGGAGGAGGAGGAGGAGGAGGAGGAGTAACTAAGGAGGGGAAGGAGAAGGGAGGAGGAGGAGGAGGAGGAGGAGGAAGAGGAGGAGGAATTAGTGTCCCACTAATGCGCGCCGTGCTGAGTAATGGTGGACGGCCATTTTCCCCATCGGACAATGCCTCCTGGGCCACCCTCCACGCGAGAGGATTTCCGAATTTGTTCGCAGGAAGGTTGGCAATAAGAACCGATGCGTCGGAGGAGGAGGGGAGGGAGGAAGAGGAGGAGGATGAGGAGGAGGAGGAGGAGGAGGAGGAGGAGGAGGGACGAGGAGAAGGTGGTGGAGTATGAGGGGGAGGAGGAGGGAGGGAGGAGGAGGAGGAGGAGGAGCTAAGGAGGGGGAGGAGAGGAGGAGGAGGAGGAGGAGGAGGAGGAGGAGGAGGAGGAGAGGGAGGAGGGAAGAGGAGGAGGAGTGGAGGAGGAGGAGGAGGGGGGGAGGGGGGAGGGGGGAGAGGAGGAGGGGGGGAGGGGGGAGAGGGCGGAGGAGGAGGAGGAGGAGGAGGCGCGACGTGCTGAATAATGATGGACGGTGAGGACAACGTCTTCCCCACTAATGCGCGACGTGCTGAATAATGATGGACGGTGACTTCTCCCATCGGACAACGTCTCCGAGGCAACCCTCCACTCGACAGGAATGTCGAGCTCGTTCGTAGGAAGGTTTGCAATGATAATCGAAGCATCGGAGGGGGAGGAGGCTGAGAAAAGGACGAGAATGAGGAGGAGAAAGAGGAGGACGAGGAACAGAGCTCCTTTGCATGCATTTCGTGAGAGTGCCGTGAGCTCCTGAGCTTTCAGAGTGGGAGTTGCAGAGCAAAGAGCCTTTGAGACAGTTCTCGAGCAATGAGTTTCAGAGCAATGAGCTTCAGAGCAATGAGTTGCAGATCAAGGAGCACCCGAGCAATGAGTTTCAGAGTAATGAGTTTCCGAGCGGTGAGAGAGCAATGAGTGTCAGAGCAATGAGCCTTTGAGAGTTTCAGAGCAACGAGCCTTTGAGGAAGTTCCCGAGCAATGAGTGTCAGAGCAATGAGCTTCAGGACAGTCAGTTTCAGTGCAGTGATAGTATCAGAGCAATGAGTTTCAGAACATTCAGCCTTTGCGAGTTTCAGAGAATCCTCCTCCTCCTCCTCCTCCTCCACCTTCTCCTCTTCCTCCTTCCTCCTCTTCTTCCTCGTCGTCGGCGTTGTCGTCAGCGGCGGCGGCGGGACAAAATAATTAGTTTCCGTTGTTGTCGGGGCCCCAGTCAGTCAATAAGGTCGCCGAAAAATATGAAGTTAATAATTCTTCTCGGTTCGGGGGGGGGGCTCCGCGCCAGCGGCCCGCGCGCAGGGCAGCCCGGCATCCTGGCACCGCTCAACTTCCCGGTCTTCCTGTTCACCAGCGGCCTCTTCGCGGCGCGCGCCGCGCCGGGGCCCTCCTGGAGTCGAGCGGCATGGGGCGCGTCGTAATGGAAGAAGAGAAAACGGCACAAACAGATACTTGTGGCCCGCCGCGCGGGTTTCTTGGATCCGCGCCGAGCCCCACAGCGGCGCCTCCGGCGCCGCTCCTGGCGCTCTCCGCACGCCAGGGCGGTGGGCACAGCGCGGATCCAAGAAATCCGCTTGGAGCGCCACAATTTTCTGTTTATGTTAGTACTGTACTCCTTAGTCGCAGTATTCTTATTATGATTGTCATCATTTACTATTATTATCCTGATTATTATCCTTATTCGTCTTGTTCTTCTTCAAATCAAGCGTGTCGCAATCGGGGGCGAGAAGGGGGGGGGGGCGAGAGCTGCAGGATAAAGGGCCCCCCCCTGGGGCCCTCAGGTGCACGAGAGGTGCGCGTTTTTCTTCGGCCCCATGTTTACTCCCAACCTTCTTGATGTGGTGTTCTCGTTCTGGATATAGTGCACAGAAGTGTCTACTCCGTCCTCCTCCACCTCCTCCTCCTCCAACGCCTCTTCATCCTAATCCTAGTCTCATCCCGACTCTTGCTTCCTGCCTCCTGCGTCCTGGTCTGAACTCTACCGTCCTGTGCTGGTTCTCATATCGAATAGAGCACTGATTTGAGGTCCAAAAACGGTGCGGTGACAGACCGTGCGGTGACCTCGAAATCCCCCAAGACCTCACCGCACGGTCCGTCAACGCACGGTTTTGGGACCTCGGATGCACCTGTCGCCCGAGACATCCTCAGAGAACGACCCGAGTCCCAAAACCGTGCGGTGACCCCGAATCCCCACCGACTCACCGCACGGTGTGGTCACCACCCCGTTTGGGGGCCCCCAAACTGAGGTCTCGACTCCGTCCTCTCTCCTCCTCCCGTGCCTCTTCCTCTCTTGACGGGCTGTTTCGTGTTGTTCCCAACCCTCCTGTGCTGGCTTCTCGCATTGATTAGTGCACTGCTTTCTCCAAGCTTCCTCCTTGCCCTCCTCCTGCGGTCCGCGAGGGGCTGCGAACTGCGCAACTGTCGCCGCGTTCATGGGCTCCTGGGAGGCCCAGTGCAGCGGGCACATGTGCACAACCAGACCAGACCTCGCGGCTCCCTGTGTGTTGCTGCCACCTGCGCACTGTTCACCACGTTCGTGGGCTCATGGGAGGCCCAGCGCAGCGAGGGCATGCGCGCCTCCAGACTGGGCCTCGCGGCTCCTTGGTCGGTGCTGTCGCCTGCGCAGCGATCGCCACGTTCGCGGGTGCCGTGGAGGCCTGGCGCAGAGGGGGCATACGCGCACATGCAGACGAGACCTCGCGGCTCCTTGGGGGCGCTGCCACTTGCGCACTTGTCGCCACATCCGTAGGTTCTTGGGAGGTCCAGCGCAACAGTGCCGTGCGTGCGTCCGCACGAGAAGTCCCAGCTCCCCGTGGGTGTTGCCAACTGCGCAACCGTCGCCACTGTGCCGCATAAGCCGCCGCGTTCGTTGGTTCCCGGGAGGCCCAGCGGAGCGGAGGCGTATGCGGATCCAAACGAGACTTCGCGGTTCCATGTGGGTGCATTTGTCGTTGTCATGTTGGGTGTGCGTGCGAATGGGGAAGAGGAAGAACGAAGAAAGCGCCGTGTGTCAAGCAGGCACATGAGCATTGAGGGCGTGACAGCGATTGGCGGGTGTTCGGTTTCGCATCGCCTACTACTGGCCCTCTGACTCGTGCTTACAAGAGGAAGAGGAGGAGGAGGAAGAGAAAGAGGAGGAGGAGGAGGAGGAGGAGGAGGAGGAGGAGGACGACGAAGGAAAAAAGGGAGGGGAGAGGGAAATCAACCAACGGCGTGTCTCCGCACTGCCGGCTGCCTTCTGTCGGCTTGCAGCGAATGCAGGCTTCCAAGCGATATCCGTGCAGAATTTGCAGACTAATTTCGCATGGCTTTACTTTCTGGTTGGTCGTTCGCCTTGTGCGCATTGCTGTGGAATAGATTCAGTTGTCGGGCCAAGGGAATACTCTTCAGACTTCCCCGTCCTGCCCATTGTAGAACATCTTCGTTCGAAATGTGGCTGCAGTATGAATGCTGAATGCGAAGTATTTTCCTTGAGCACCGCGCCCGGAACGCATCCAAGCTGGAAAGATCTGCGTTGTTGAGTAATGTTGCGTGTGCAGGCTGTACCGAAGTTTGCTGCTCACGCCGGCTCCGAAGATATGGATCTTCCGCCGGGCAGTGATCGTTGCGTGTGACCGGATCCTGGCTAGAGTGTTCAAGTCCGATCTGGCTTCTCCGAGCCTCTGGCTGAGTTCAGGCCCCACCGTGCCGTCCAACGGGATGATATAGCCGAGGTAGACGATGTTGTCCAGCTGCGTTGCCAGACGTCCGTTTGGCATTGGAATCCCAGCGACGCATCGAGCGGGGGGGAGTACTTCAAGCTTCTTCGAGTTATACTTGAGGCCGTAATTTCCGTCCGCGCGTTCCACGCCAGTCATGTATTCCGAAGCTTGTGTGGCGTTGGCGGCCACGATCAACGTGCCGTCTGCGCAGACGTGGTGGGTGGGGTACAATCCTCCGAGAGGCCTCTGAGGTGTCCCCATCCCTCCAAAGCCCGACACCCACACTTCACGCAGATCCAATACGGCTCGTAGAAGGCAAGCTCGTGGGATGCATGGCCGCAGCGGGTCCCCAGGGCGAGCTGAGTGTGGTGCGGTTGATTGGGTGGCGGGCCTGGGCACTCGGATCGGATCGG